ACGAGTTTCAAATCAGCCAATGAGAGCACGATTTTATATCCGGGACTTGAATTTGCCCCCCATTAGCTGCGTTCCCAATTTTTAAACTCGATGCCTCCTCTAGTGTTATTTATAATCTCTATGGCTGCAACTACCTTAGCCTGAAAACAGACCTACGTTTCGCCCGCCCTAAAATTCGCGGGTCGACGAATTTTAGGATGGGTGAAACGTTGGTCTGTTATCAGGCTAGTTTTCAGGCTACAACTACCTGAAAAATGCAAGGAGAATTTCGACATTTCCATGAAATTCTCCTTGTAAATTCAGGTAGTTGCATTTCTGTCAACCCAAATTTTATTATTATTGACACGACCTACACTGGCACAAACCGGCGATTACCCATAGAAGATTACCCTGGTTGCCCTCTGTTCTCGTATCTTCCGCCCTATTCTCGCTCGCATTGGCACAAGAACCTCTGGAACCAGGGTACATATAACATATTACTGTATAGCTTTTGAAACAGTGCACTTGTGTTAGAAAAAATAGGCAAGGTGCAAATTTTGCTCGTTTGTATGGGTCAATAAAGAAAATTTGACAAAATAATTTGAGAACTTGCATGCGATTTGTCAGCGATCATAAAAACACTGGTATCGTCATCACGTCATGGTTTCGACAAGGAACTAGCTTAGCCTAGGGTTGTTATAACCTGAATAGAATACCCACTAATTTCATTTTGGTAATCATTAAAATTTACAATCTTTTATCAGAATTTACCATTACTAAATTTTTTCCAAAATTCACGAAATTTTACCAAAGACTGGTCCCCCTCCCCATACTCGGCTGGTAAAATGGTAAAGACCTACCCCCGGAAATAGCTAATGTTGATAATCACCACGCAAATTGCTACATTTTCCGGATTCTTTTGCGTTCTAATTGTTGATTGCCTGTTCTTTTATATTGTGAGAAACTTTATTTAATTGAGTGCAAAGCGCCTTGTAAGTATACGAGCTTCATTTGAATTGCAAATTATGTGTCGTTTGTGTATTTGCAAATTACGTACATTCCATTCGCACAAATTCAAGACGCTTTCTCAATCGCTGTATTAAAACAATAAATTTACGTTGTTGTTTTTAGGTTCTTAAAGCCTCATCTCGAGAATTCTGGCGAAAACAACACGATGAAAACGCTTTGTTGGCTTTTAGTCGTTTACAGCCAAGTATTTTTGGCTTTAAGCGTTGAACGAAAGCCTTTAAACAAGCATATTCGTCATTACGAACCGCTAAACTATGCCGAAAGCGATATAAAAGATTCGTTCAAAAATGGACTCGAAACGAAGTCGTTAGATTTCAAATCTCACGGAAGGGAATTCAAACTGCGTTTAGAACCGGACAGAGATTCGTTTCATCCTGGTTTAGATCGACTAAACGATGAGATAAAAGAACATTTAAACTCGGCGTTAGCAGGCTATCTTGAAGACGAACCGAATTCCGAAGCCTTCGGCTCGATACGAAATGGCAGATTCGAGGGGACAATATTCACCAACGACGAAGAATACACCGTACGGCCGGCAGAAATGTATTTTGATGAACCTCAAGAATTTCATTCGGTTATCTTTCGTTCGAAAGACGAAGACGAAAGCATCAGGCGAAAAAGAAGTATATTTTCAAACGGTGAGCCCCGTTCGATGAGACGCCGTCGAGAAACAAACGAGTTCGACGAACCAGATGGATTCGATTTGTACAAGCAAGAAAATAATCAAAACCTGAGAATTTGTAACATTTCGATCGAGTCGGACTACTTATTCACAAATGCTTTGGGAGGCACAGGCAGGGCCGTTGGCGAAATGATTTACTTAGTTCGGTTGGCTAACCGAAAGTTTGAAGAAATGGCACAGTCACCGCTATGGAAAGAGGCAAAACTATTTACACTTCGTTTAATGATCGGGCATATTATGGCCTACACCAATGAAACAACACCTGAGGAATTAAAACCCGAGAGTATGGGTGTTTCAACTTTCCTCGATTTTGTGTCCGATCGAGACTACGATGGCTACTGCCAGGCATTCTTCCTCACTTATCGAGACTTTGAGGGTGGTATTACAGGTATAGCAACTTGTCTAGTTTAAATTGCATTTCGTTGGAAAGGTTGTCTACAAGTAGATTTTGGCCGGCATTACTGGTTTGTTTCACCATTGCTTTTACCCTTCCCCAGGGATTGATCCAATCAGATCTGACAGGATGGGTGTACTCATCAAGGCTCTAGTCTTGCTTGTGGCAATTTTACAATCCTGTTTCTATCTCATCTTGTCCAACCAAAAATGGATTTGATAAGGAAATTCTCCCCCCCCCCCTTGCACCCCAAGGCTAGGATGAGTGCATACACTGCCTCACCCCCTCCTATTCTGCCCCCTCTCCAGTAACACTATTCCTGTACTACCCCCATACTTAGCACAAAGCCTATTAGTTTTTAATTAGTTTCCCTTCAAAATTTTTGTTTTCCCTTCCTATCCAATTCATGTTTTGCTGACTGGGAAAACAATTTGTCGACTGGGGTACAATTATCTGTGGACTCCTGACCACTGGGGGGGGGGGGGTGTTCCACACCCATACCCTCCTCTAGTGCCGCCCCTGGTTGTGGTTATAGGTTTTTTCATGTAGTTGTATCTCTGACATAGAATCTCTCAATCTGCAACATTTTAAATCCGGCATTATATGCTTACAGGTCTATCTTGGAGTGCTCAAGATGATGAAAGGGGTGGGGTCTGTCAAGCGAGGCGTTACTTTATTCAAATTAATGAAAATTTCAATGTGCAAAAGCTAAAGAGTTACAACTCAGGTGTCATAACATACAAGTTTTATGGAACCCTTATCCCGCCGAAAATGGGAGAAATTGCATTCCTCCGGCAAGTTGGGACGGCCTTTGGTGCACCGGTAAGTTGGTAACAGTTGTTTACAGGGAGCAGAGCTGGCTTCTGAGGCCAAGTGAAACTGTATCCTTTTCCTAGTCCTATATGTGCATGGTTGTAGTGTTATTAGCCTGAGTATCAGGCCACATATTCCTTAAATGCGGGTGGATGGTTGCCGCCTGGTTGTTCGAAAGTCAATCAGCCTAACCCCAAGTTAAGGTTACAGAAGACCTGTGAGTGTTAATTTTACCTAAATTTTTTTTATTGGTTTCCATGAAAGAATTAGACTAGTTCTACTGTCTGACCAAGTTTGAACAAAAAATGTTGAAAACTCACAGAGTTATTTAATAAAATACATTTCGCTGCAATAAGAAAAACATTGAAAATTCAATTAAATTCAATTTTCTCCCGAAAAATTTTACAGGAATTACTGATTTTCAAACAAGTTGTGCTCCTGCGGGTTTTAACCAATTTTTCTCAAATTTTCACAGGACAATTAGCTATAGAGGTCAGTTTCAAAATTGTGTTTGGCTTTTTTTTAATTTTGGATATTTTACTGTCGTTCCAATTGAAGTGTTCCTCAAATATTGATTCAATACATTACCTCGGGCTGACCAATTCATTTGATCAAGTTCCTCGAAATATTCATACACTTCCTAGTATAATTGTAAACTTCCTGTTGAATAGTTTAAATGCACCAATCACCTTTGTTGTTTGTGCAACTAACCAATCATAAATAGAAAGAAAGTGACCAGAAATGATCAAATTCCTGGAATTGGCTCTTTCACAGGAAGTGTATGAATATCTCGAGGAACTTGTCAACTTGATGAAATGAATTGGTCAGCCTGAGGTAATGTATTGAATCAATATTTGAGGAACACTTCAATTGGAACGACAGTAATAATAAAGAGCAATTCACTCAAACAATTCAGAAATATATTGCAGTCGTCAAAGAAATCGCTATATCAGCGAAATGACGAAATAAACAAAAATTTCCGAACACAATTTTTTAGAACAACTACAGACGTTCCAACTTGACATCTCCAAAAATCGGGAGGTCTGGTAAAGGCAAGAAAACGTTGACCTCTAGTGTGACTGGGTAGAAAATTTAGAAAATTCAAACTTTCTTTCAGAAGCGGCATTTCTTGATTCCGAGACTCGTGAATACAACAACTGTAAATTTCCGCCTTTCATGCGAAATATTACAAAACTTTTGTCGTACAAAACACCCCTCTTGGCGAAATACCGCTTTTTTGTCGATCCGACAACCGTTTTTACCGTACGCAAACGGCTTTTACAAGGATTCTTTTAGAAAAAGTAACATTTTTTCT